GTTACAACATTTGTTTTTATCATAGGTTTTATTATATGCTAGTAGCATTGTCATTTTTGTAGTACAAGTCTGCCTATAGAGGTTAAGGCATAGTAATTACAAACACAAACACATAATATAAAAATATAACTTTTTTGCACATTGAAGGTAGGAGACTTTGTGAAAGAGGTTCAATGAACTTTTATCAACATGTGAACCTTTGTCAGTGTGAAAAACCCTGCAGCTCTGGACTTTTCCAAGAACATTTTACATAGAAAGATGCATGGTTTTTCCCCATCTTATTGTAGCTTTTTATTACAATTCTGTGGATGAATTTGTTATGATGGGCCTTGCTTGACTCCTGTTTTAGATGAGTAAAATATAGCATATATTTGTCACAACAATAAAGTGAGACATTTATAATGTGTGTGTATGTATATGTATTTGTGTGTGTGTGTGTATATATATATATATATATATATATATATATAAAATATTTGGTGCAGTTCAATTCATATTACAATAAATCATTCATACAAAAAGTAGATTAGTAAAGTTAATGATATAAAATGGCAAAATCCCTTCACAAACAAAATTTTAAAGGTGCATTAACTTACAAATCACTCGATGAATGTTATGATCCTTGTTTTTAGAAATTATAAGCTGTATAAGTTCTTTCTTTAATATGTAAGTACTTTCAACTGTACATTCAGTCATCTTCAGGCATGGAAATTATTTGTATCCATTAACAATAACACATTTCAAAGAAATCATATTTCGATTTGCATTTAATTTTTTCATCTTGGATGCTACCTGAATTTTACCAAAAACAAAATAATTTAAATTACATAACAGAAAAATCCCAAATTACCTCATGAGTATAGACTATTTCAACTAATGCCAAATGCATCAGCCTTATTCAACTCGGACAGTGGACTGTATTCAGTGTCAGAACTAGAGATTTAAAATTTAATATTTAACAAAGACAGCAGTTGAAAAATTGATACAGAGCAAACCCATTACACAGCAGACAAGACTGACTGCCCAAGTGGTAGTAAGAGGAGGGTGGAAGTTATGTCTTAAAAGAAAAGAAGCTACACAAATTCAACCCAGATATTAACCTTAAAACCCCAAATTGGGGTTATAAGAAAGATGAAGTAAAACTAAAGGAAGGCTGAAAAAAATGAGTTTTATAAAAGGAAATTTTTAATTATTAATTATATAAAAAAAATTTGTTCCCACTAAGAATTACCAAAATATGCTCACAAATAATAAAATTAACAGTAAATCATTTTTAGATAGTTTATGTTAAGAAAGAATATATTAAAACATCAATGAATAAAAATAATTATATTAACCAGTTAAAATATTAAGAATACAAACCATACTCAGTAATATATAAAAAACAAAAAAAAACTTTTTAAAATTAAAAGGATAAAGAATTAAGTAATCAAAGAAATGGAGTTTGTAAAGTAGTGGAAGGTTATAAGACAGGATTGATATGGAGAAGGCAAAATATTGAAATAACTATAGTAATATGTTTAACATTAGAAGGATTAGCTAATTAAAAAAATAAAGAAAACTCAAAAACATTATAGAAGTTTAAACCTACTTCTATGACAACAATTTAAAACTAATTCATTCCTTTGATTTAATAGTTTTCTTTGATTATTGTATTTTATTATTCTAATTTTCTCTTCAAAATAGGAATAGGTCACACCTATTCCTAAGACTATTAGGAGTATGAGCAGAATCTATAATTTTCCACTGAATCTGAGGGTTCAGACCTTTCTCCCTCAATTCCCCAAATTTTTTGGAAAGAGCTGTCTGATATTTTAATTTAGGGTTGGTTGGTTATATATATATATATATATATATATTGGGAATTGAGGGAGAAAGGTCTGAACCCTCAAATATATATATGTACATATGTAAAAAGAAGAGAGATACCGCAAATATTTTTGGTTGTAATGTGGATTTTCTTTTGAAAATATTATGCTTTATTTTCCATATGGAAAAATTATTATGGAAAATAAAGCATAATATTTAAAAAAAAAAATCCATATTTCAAAAAAAATTTTATGTGTCTCTTCTTTTAATATACACACTTTTCTCTCATTGGAACTACTATAACCTCTTCCTTTTATTTATATATATATATATATATATATATATATATATAATAAAAGAAACACTAATATTCCATGGTTATAATTTATTACATTGGAATTGTAATCACAATCCAATTAGGTCTGATGAATTGGATTGTGATTACAATTCCAATGTAATAAATTATAACCATGGAATATTAGTGTTTGAGCCTTTTTATTATATTCTTACTCTGTCCTGGACATTGAGTTCTACCTGGATTCTATCCTCTTGGAAATTTTGTTGTACAAATTTGGCAGATGTATGAAAGTTTTTGTAATGTTGCAAATAGAATATTTCTAGTTAGTATTTACGTTGGTGAATGAATAAGTTATTTGGAAGTAATAAGTCTATCAGTAAAAGGCAATATTAAACATGACAAAGTGATATTTGGATAAGTTGACTTATCTGGAGCTGCTCAGTTCTATGTGCACTCCTTGCAAGAGGCCAGCTGAAAAGGAGGAAGTCTCTAAATTTACAACCAATAGGATAGTTTCCTTTTTCATATGGAATCATGGGATTAGATTTTTTTTATTTCACATGATCATGAGATCAATACAATTTTATTGTTTGATTGCTTGGGCAAATAGTAGAAAATCAGAAATAAAGAAGTAGCTTTCAAGAAGAAAGTGATTGTCATTGGTTAGAAATGAAGGCAAGTGTTACTGACAGAATAAGGTAATTATATATATAATGTAAATGTATGACAAATTATTTTACTTGGGGAAAATGCACTGAATCTCATAGAACGGTCAGGAATTAACCCTTTGAATATTAATTTTGCACAAACAATTTTTTGTTACCTACCCTATTTACATGATGACTCTTGTCCTCAGTGTCCTTGTTAAGACGATAAACTACAGCCAAGAGTAAAACCTCTGATCAGGAGATTTTGAGGAGCATGGAACCACCTCTTAATTGCTGGTGTTCTCAGATCCAACCTGACCCGGGATAGTAGCACCTGTTAGAATCCCAGCTATGGGCAAATAGTTAACCCCCCAAACTGGGGTCAAAGCACTATAAAAGTGTAAAAATAGGTTTTAATACCAGCAATACGTTTTTTTGTAAAAAAAATTATTACCAGTAGTACACTCTTGAAGAAAAAAATATTACCAGCAATAAAAATCTTGTCAACATTAAATAACTCATTGAGGTTGATAGGCTGTAAAACAAACAAACAAAAACTATTGTCCTCATCTTTGTTGTTATCACAACATTTTAGCCATTGTACTCTCCAGCCTTCATCAGGTGTATATTGATCTGAGTAAGCTATAGGGAATTTCAAACTGAACCCTTTATTTAATCTACAGGGGTAGACTGTTCTTGTTCCACTGCTCATGTCAAGGGATATCTTGTCTCATTCTTATTTTTAGTGCCACTCAGTTATTTGCTAAAATTGAGATAACAACAACAAAGCTGAGGATAATAGTCTGCATGTAAATAGTGTAAAAAGTGATAACTCCTCATCCCAAAAATTCAGGCACAAACATTTTTCCTTTTTTTTGTTTATATTTACAAGTTCATGAGACCTACAATAAATATTACTCTCTAGATTCAATGTATTTTTAAACAATTTTTTTTATGGAAGGGACAAGAATATCCCCACTGTATTGTTATAAAAGAAATTCTAATAAAATATTAATAAATGGCAATGCTGCACAAGGATATCCAAAAAATATTAAAAAAATTTGTTTTTTGATAAGAAGTAACTAGATGACAATTATTTTCACAGCACATTTAAAATGCAAACAGATCAAATGAATGTGCTAGAAAAATCCTTTTTCACAGATATTTTTTTTTGTATTTCTTTAGTTTTCTATTAACTAACCAAATAACCATTTGTGGATTTAAGTAAAATTATTTTTTTTAATTTAATTACTTTTTTTAAATTAAAATCTGCATGTCATGCTTATTTCCATAGCCCAAAATTAGACTAATTTGGAAACAATGATAATCACTTGCGGGAGCATATAAAAAGGAACAGTAAGGCCCTTTTTTTTTCTTTTATCTCCCTCCAGACAATGGTAATGAGGCTCGGACACTTTTTCACTGGTTCATCACTGTAGAATGCTGTTGTATTAACATCTCTCAAAATGCAGCGTTCACAACCTGGACATATTTCATTGTCCTGAAAAATGTCTCATACAATTGTAAATTTCATGTATGGACATTTTATACACCAACCGCAATTGTACATTTCTTTCTTATTGGTTGTTATAAATTGTTTTCTCTATAACACACACACACACAACTAACTCTTAATAAGTTTTGTCTTTTTGTTATTTCTCCCAGACCCTGTTCTACCATCCATTTACTCAAGCCCATCAAGTATGTTACATACCGCTTTCCTCTGTCCTGGGGGGGAGATCAGATTTTTCCAAGCCCTCCTTCCTCATTATGCACCCCCAGAAATTTCAGCTGCCTTTTCCTGATGTTAAGTATAAGTTTCCTTTTTTTTTCTATTTTCTCTAAAACCTCGTAATTGCTCACATGTTAGATCCATAGTATCCTCAGTATCTTTCTGTAGAATCACATTTTTGTTGCTTCCAGTCTCATCTTCATCTTTAAGGAAATTGTCCAGCATTTGCTGCCATACAGGAGGATAGGTATCACATAACAATTCAATACTCTTTTTAAACAGATTATTTTGACAATACCATGAAATTATTTGGTGCTAATTTGTTGTAATGGGAAATAGTAAGCAACAATACTTACTATGAATGCTTTAAGTTTTCTAACTTACAACTGAATTTTCATAAAGCAGATACAAATTCTTTCAAGACAAAAACTATGAAATGAAACAAAAAAAAACTTATATATGACTAGTTTTAAAGTTTGAATTTAAAATAGATAAGGATTGCAACTGCATCATATTGAAACACTGGTTCCTGTACGATCACCGAAGTTAAGCAATGTTGAACCTGGTCAGTACCTAAATGGGTGACCTCTTGGGAGTACCAGATGCTGTTAATTTGGATGTGCAGGGTGATGTAATAGATAATGGCTTGGAATTGTTAATCAGAGAGCCGAGTTCCAGTTCCCATTGGGTTTATTATATTCATATATGCGCAAATATCCTTGGAAAAGATATGAAACCATCTCTTTTCCATGCCCCAGCTATGAGTCAATTAGTAAGACTTGTATCATTAAACTATTATTATTTCAAAACAAAAAAAATTCTTATCTAAAAATATTTTCTGGCTTTAAATAACTTGTAAAGGGTTGATAAACTGGAGAAAATCAATCAATCAATCAATCAAATCAAAAATTAACAACACAGATGAAATATTTATTAAAATATACTTTTAAAAATTGGTATGCAAATTAAATGTTACTGTTTATGTTGTAAAAGGCATCTGTTAGTAATATATATATATATATATATGAGAAACTCCATCATGCTATTGATGAGGGATATTATATATATTCATATATACTTAATAGCTCTGTAATATAACATTGGACACTATTTTATAAGACCTGAGAAAAATATATATGTATGTGCAAGTATATGCATGTATACATATGATTTTTCATGATACCCACATACACACATATAATATAATATAATATATATATATATATATATATATATATATATATATATATATATATATATATATATATACTAGCTTTTAAGCTGCCCTACTGTGTGGTATTTAAGCTAGCTCCTGCAGAGGGCTCTTGATTAGGCCTTTGACCCAACAATGACACTTCATACATTGAGTGGATATTAAATTTTATTAAACAATATTTTTCAAACAATTAACACTTTTCATCAAAACAATGATATAATTTGTCTATTTGGAACTTATTGCAAAGCAGGTTGATAAACAACATTTTTGGTTTTCCTATTCAGGGTCAGTACAAATAGCTTGTTTCCATTCCTAACCTTTGAACAACCAACATAGAGTTGACTGTGAAAAAAGCAGGGTTCCATCAGATGAAGTCCAGTTACTTTCAATGATTGTTCTTGTGTCTTATTGATTAACATTGCATGGCTCACTCTCACTGGAATCTGAAGTCTCTTGAATTCAAAAGGAAAATCTGAAAGAATTAATGGGTTTCTTGGAATTAAAACTCTTTCCTGGACCAGTATGGATTTCTGCTTCCAAGAGACGAGGAAGCATCTTCTTGGCAATTAACTTTGTTTCATTACAAAGCTTTGGAAGATCCAGATTTTTCAATAGTATAACTGGCACATTTTCTTTTGTTCCAGCTTGAGTGATGGCATTCCACAAGGAATGAGTTCAGGAACTCTATTGGATAATTCACTGCCTGCTCTTATTCAACCACAGTGTCAATGGAAAAGTACTTTGTACTTTCTTTTGGAATTTCTTGGAGAAGTTTCCTGTTGTTGCTATCCACAGTTTGATTCTTGAGAGCTAATATGGTGATCTCACAAAGCCAGTTTGAATCCATGAAATGGTGTTTAATGTTTGGATAAACATGGTTAATCAAGTCTTGGATACTTGAGACTGAAACTCCACAACAATTTGGGAGTAAAATATCTCCATTTGGGCCCATTTTGATAGTTTCATTGCCAAGCTGCAACAACAAAGCAGCAAATCTTCCTGCTTCAAGGTCACATGTTATTCTAACACTCAGCTTAGTTTTCAGGCTGTTTTTGAAAATTGCTCCAGATGTAAGAATTTTTCAGTGAGTTGTGTCCCTTTAATTGAAAAAATGTGACACGCATTTTTGCATCTATTATATAAGATAGAGATTGCACACAATGTTATAGAAACAATGCTCAATGTTATAGAGCAGAACTGTAAAGTATATATACATATATATATATATATATATATATATATATATATATATGTGTGTATATAAATAAAAAGAAAGAACAGTAAGATATGAAATCTGGTGTTCTTATAGATATTTTTATTTTTACAAAATAGTGCTCAATATAAATTTACAGAGCATTAATATTATAAATTAATTGATTTAAAATATGTTTTTTTTATGCTACACAGTTCCAACCATGTTTCAAAATAGAAGTTAAAACCCCGAATTTAATTTTTGCAATTAAATTAAAAGCATTAGTTCCATTTCATCTTCAAGCGAATTTTGGAGTAACTTTTAAAAATTACTGGGTTTTAAAGACACAGCTAAAATCACGTTTCCATGGTTACAGAATATTCTACTTAAATTAAACAAGGGATGTCTAGATTTTCCTTATGTCAGTATCATTGTATCAGTTATTAGCTACAATTTGGTAAGGGTAGGGATGTATTTTACAATGAAACCTGACATCAGTTGAATGGATGTCGTCTGAATGTTTTTTTTTTTTAAAATTGTTAACGGTAAAAAATTTCAACGTCATTTTTAAATTTAAAGATTTTCGTTTTTTTTTAAAAAATTGTTAATGGTAAAAAAAATTTCAACGTCATTTTTAAATTTAAAGATTTTCGTTTTTTTTTTTTTTTTAATACTTTTTATTTAACTATGATTTGAAATATTCTCCTTTTAATTTTTATTTTACTATATTCTTTTTTAAGAACACTTAAATGTATTAGAATCCATTATATTATGTAGGATTATTTTAACATCAAGTTTAAGTATGTATATTAGGTTACATTTTTTTTTTTTTTAAATTTATGACTATGACGGCAAAAATGGTTAATTTCACTGATTTAGTAAACTTTTTATTTTATATATAAACCTAGTATTATAATGTTTCTCATGTAAGTACTAAGGACATGGGTCATTCAAAAGCTTACATCTTATGGCATTTCATATTAATTTTATTTTACTATAGGTTTTTTTTTTTTTTTTTTTGGATTCTTTTTAGTGCGTGTAGTATTATTTAAAAGAAATTTAGATTAGAATTCATTCAATTTAACTACAATTTTAATTACAATTTCAGAATTACAACTTTAAAATTTTAAAATATTTTCATTGTTTAGTTTTAATAGACTATATTACTTTATAACAGAAGGAAAATTATCATAGTAAGTAAAATTATTTTCCATATCAAAGTATATGTAAATTACAATTTTTAAACTTTTATAAAAAAAAAAATGTAACCTCATATACATACTTAAACTTGAATTAATACATAAAGTTTACTAAATCTGAGAAATGACTTAGATAGTTTTGTAGTCTGTGCCATTAATTTTACTTAAATAATATCTAAATATAAAAGTTTAAAAATTGTAATTTACATATACTTTGATATGGAAAAATAATTTTACTTACTATGAGTAATTTTCCTTCTGTTATAAAGTAATATAGTCTATTAAAACTAAACAATGAAAATATTTTAAAATTTTAAAGTTGTAATTCTGAAATTGTAATTAAAATTGTAGTTAAATTGAATGAATTCTAATCTAAATTTCTTTTAAATAATACTACACGCACTAAAAAGAATCCAAATAAAAAAAAAAAACACCTATAGTAAAATAAAATTAATATGAAATGCCATAAGATGTAAGCTTTTGAATGACCCATGTCCTTAGTACTTACATGAGAAACATTATAATACTAGGTTTATATATAAAATAAAAGTTTACTAAATCAGTGAAATTAACCATTTTTGCCGTCATAGTCATAAATTTAAAAAAAAAAAAAATGTAACCTCATATACATACTTAAACTTGATGTTAAAATAATCCTACATAATATAATGGATTCTAATACATTTAACTGTTCTTAAAAAAATATAGTAAAATAAAAATTAAAAAGGAGAATATTTCAAATCATAGTTAAATAAAAAGTATTAGAAAAAAAAAAAAAAAATGAAAATCTTTAAATTTAAAAAATGACGCTGAAATTTTTTTACCGTTAACAATTTTTAAAAAAAACATTCAGACGACATCCATTCAACTGATGTCAGGTTTCATTGTAAAATACATCCCTACCCCTTACCAAATTGTAGCTAATAACTGATACAATGATAGTGACATACGGAAAATCTAGACATCCCTTATTAAATTTAAGTAGAATATTCTGTAACCATGGAAACGTGATTTTAGCTGTGTCTTTAAAACCCGGTAATTTTTAAAAGTTACTCCAAAATTCGCTTGAAGATGAAATGGAACTAATGTCTTTAATTTAATTGCAAAATTAAATTCGGGGTTTTTAGCTTCTATTTTTGAAACATGGTTGGAACTGTGTAGAGAAAAAAACCATATTTTAAATCAATTAATTTATAATATATATATATATATATATTTATTATATTTATTTATGTATATTTATTTATAATTTTAATTTATTTATTATTATATATTTTTCTTTTTAATGTATTACTTATATTAAATTAGATTAAGTTAACTCCCTTCCAATATATAAATAATTAATAAGTTAATAATTACTTATCTATTATGTTCATATGGTATACCTGTTATTTTAGTTGCTAGATATGCCATGTGAAATATAATTAATTTTTTTAAAAACAGTTTTTTTTAAAAATTATATCAATATGATTATGATAAACTGATATATTTTCAAATTTATATACAAGTAACGGTCAGTATACATTCAGCACCTGAAAATTGCAATTGGCATGAAACTCTGAGTAGGGTAAATGGTGTGGAATATGTATATTCGTTAATGTATATCTATCTATCTATCTCTCTATTTCTTTCTCTGCATATATATATATATATATAAAAGGTAGGATGTGTGTGTATTGAATACACGGCCGCAATTTTCAACGGATTTGCACCAAAATTTACATGCACATGCTCCAAGTTAGTGGGATGGTCAAGACTGACTTTGCATTTTCCAACTCCCATTGATAGTGGAAATAATCAATTTTTCATGCTTCTACGGCAGTTTTCATGTAGTTTGCAGCCATTTTCTACTGGCCAGAGTGAGAGCCTATAGCTGGCTGCAACGAATAGGCAGGAAGATTCTATTGGTCAGCGTGAGAGCCAACAGCTGACTGAGACGAATGTTAACTAGCATTCGCTTGCTTAAACTCAACGTTAATTCTGATTCCGCAGAACTGGGTTAGTGTGAAAAAGTATTTGTTGTTAACATTCTTTTTTTCATTCGGTTTTTCTAGTTATGAGTCCTTTTTTAAAGCTAATCATTTTGTGTTCATTTTGTTTAGTTCTTTTTTCGTAACATATTTAATGTTTAGTATAGAGCTTAGAAAAAATTTGCAGTGTGAGATAGGCAAGAAGTAAAGGGCAAAAATATTTTAAGTCAAGTGATAGCGATTGCTGTATGTCGTACAATTTTTGAATCAAGCATGGGCAATGCCAGGCCATGCTGCTAATATATATATATAAAAAGCTGATGTCAGTGATATGGGTTGATATGTTCTACTAATCTAGGGTTTAGGCAAAGTTTAGCCTTATGTAGATTTATCACAGATGAAATCAAGAAACACTAATGTTTAAATCTATTATATTCATAAACACAATGTAAGTTTTTTATATATGGATGAAACAAAAATGTTCCAAAGGTCATATTATATGACAAACAACTGGGACTATTTACAACAATTAACTGGTATTATTGACCGATATTTCCTTGGTATGTAGAAGATGCTTTTTAAAGTTGGTATTTTAATGACCAAATATAAGAATACTGATTTGGGGAATTAGGTGACCCCATCCCAACACCAACCTTGCCTTGAGAACTTTTCAGTACCAACTTGTATACAACAAATTAAAAGGGTTAAGACAGTTGTTACTGACAGAGTATTTTATGTAGAAAGTAAATGCATTTTTTTTTATTTTACTACAAAAATTCATTATAAATGATTTTATTATAGAAAATGTATTGAAAATCGAGAAAAGGTAAATATCAATCTTTAATACAAGTATTAGTGAAAGAATAGGGTTATTGCATACATTATTTATTTATTTATCTCATAATATTGAAATTGTAAATATGGATTGTGTGATTTGCATGGGTTCTATTTGTTCTGATGATTGCTTCCTACTTTAATATTTTGCAGGCGTTTCAAGTCCTTGAAGAACAATAGCAACTGGTGTGAAAATCCAATCATTTTTCGAAAAGTGCTGCCTTCAAATGTGGCCCAAGAATCTCGACCTCCTTTGCAGGGTGACATGGATATTCCAAGTGCTTGTACTTATTCTCCAATGGTCAAACCGCCTCAAATGGCCAATTCCCCAGCTTGGTCATTTGGTGCAAAATGTCACACAGACAGAGGTAATTATCTACTCTCTCTACCTTCACTATATTTTGTACCCACTCCATTTTTAGCCAAATATCTGTGTATCCCTCTCTATCTATCTATCTGTCTGTCTGTCTGTCTCTCTCTCTCTCTCTCTCTCTCTGTATATATATATATATATATATATATATATATATATATAATATATATATATAATAATAGAAAAGAAATTTAAATTTTTAATTTTTGTGTTGTTTGATTTTCATTGGTTAATCAGGCTTCACATGCATTTTACTTGTTAAATAAAGTTTGTATAATTTATGGTTTTCTGAATTCAGGGAGAGACAACATATCTTTTAGAAGCTCCAAGGAATTAACTTTGCAAACAACACAAAAATGAAATACCAGAATTTCTTTTTTTTTTTTTTTTTTTCCCCATATCTCATTCTCTGATGCATTAATAGAAGTGAAATACGATAGACTGATAAACATTTTCTATTTGTTCTTTATCCTATCATTCTGTCAGATTATAATCCACATTTGATCCCAATTTATTTGTTTATTTATATATATATATGAATACAGGGTTGGTATAGATGGAATAAATTTCCAATAACCAAAATCACTATTTTTAAAAAAGTGCTCTATAACAAATTAGAGTAAATAATATTTATTCAAGAATGATAATATAACCATGCTATAACATCACTATAAAAATAGCCATTTTGTTTCAACACTTCTGGTGTTGATTGCGAAATAAAGAATTTTTTTCTTTATTTCGCAATCAACACCATCACTTGACAAGACACCAGAAGTGTTGAAACAAAATGGTTATTTTTGTAGTGATGTTATAACATGCTTATGTTATAATTTTTGAATATATATATAATATAAATAGTAGCTACAAAGTAGCAAATAATAAACAAAATTATAGAATATAGTGTATATCAGATTTAACAGTTTCTGCTAATAAAGTGATCAATATTAGACTAGAGCGATAACTATTATTAAAATATATGTAAAAAGGTTGAGGATCAACTCGGACATTCAACATTTGTAATTTTTCAGTCATTCATTTGGACTCTCGGCATGACCAGTGGTTGGAAATTTATGAAACTCTGAGATGACCTTCAACAAGTACTGACCTTTTTTTACTTTGAATTTAATAATAATAATTATATATATTACTTTGAATTTAATAATATTATATATATATATATATAATATTATTATTAATATTATTATTATTTAAGTCAGTAAAAAAAAGAACTTTTGATATGACATTGAAGTTCTCAAATGTTGCCTATATACTCTTCAGAACCAAATAATACAAATTTTTCATCTAAATCTGTCTGACTATATGTCCTTTGAATAGGCAAATCTTTGATTCCAGCTGCATAATAAAAGACATCATCACATCTGTAGAGAGTGTCTGCTGGCTTAATATGGCTGGAAAGCAAGCAAAAGAATTTCTGCTTTTCGGTGGCCTTCCCCTCTGTACCCTCCTCACTTAATTATTCTGTCTCACTTTTTCATGCACTCAGCTTGAAGAAAATAAAACAGAGAGGGCTAAAGCCTTTTGTAATGCAAGCTAAAGAATTTGTTTTTCAGCAACTGTCTCTCTTTCATTCACTCACTATTATGTTCTGCCTCTAATGTTCCCCTACTAAAATGGCAAGTAAGTTCATTGGTTTTAATTGCATCTTTTCTAGATAAACAATAAGCATTTTCTATACTTACACTCTCTAAATAATTTTGCTTGTAACAGTTATGCTAAAAAAATTAAGAAATGGGGAAATATAAAAAAAATACAAGTACAAAGAGGATAGTGAAAATTATCAATAATTAATTTTATATTACACAAAATTATTTACATTATTCGGACTATTGTCCTCATCTTTTTCGCCATATTTATTACAACGTTTTAGCCATTGTATGCTCCAGCCTTCTTCAGGTGGTTGGAATGTCAAACTTAACCCTTTATTTTGCTCACTGGGGTAGACTATTCTAGTTCCACGTGCCATGTTTTTTAATGGATGTCAGTTATCAGTTATCTCCTGTTAATTCCCCTCTGCAAGTTCTCCACTGCCTTAACCTGGTATTGAACTCGCACTCTTTGGGTCCTGTCACTGGATCTAACCAATGCCTTTATCCACTGTGCCATGTGTTCTTGTAAATAATGTACATAATACCTCATCTCAGAAATATAGACAGATACAAAATTATTTATCCTGGAAAAAATGTAAAGCATGCATTGCATACATGGACACTTCACCTCTGAGAGATATATAACTTTTTTTCCTTGATCAATTTACCCCAAGCAAGGCAAGAGTTCCACTAGTATATAAGGAGCTACAGAGAGTGTAAGTAATGGAAAAGACTGGGTATGGGAGGGGGATAAAAAGAAGAATGCAGATCAAGGCAAGAGAAGATGTTGATTGACATTTAAATTTTTGAAAATTATAGTTATCAGGAAAGCAAGTAAGAGGAAGTTCTACTGTCAGGAAGTACAAGAGAAGAAGCTGTTGGAGTAGAAGTGGTTATATTTAACTGTTTCGGCAGTAAAAGGGTCAGACTGAGATGCCAACCTAGTGGCATGCTTAAATTCATGCAGTCAGACCACCAGTGAAAATACCTCGTCAGAGCAGATGCCATGAAAATATTTATAGAAAAGACAGAGGGAAGCCATATTACTGATCACATACCATATCTGTGTTTTGGAATTTGTTGAGAACCTTGAGATAAACAGCAGCAGCACCAGACCATATATGGCAACAATAATGGTAGATTTGAAAAATGGACTTAGATGAGAAAAACCTGCTGTCATACAGAGAAACAACTTTCCTTGTGGTAGATGCAGCTGTTGATTCAATGTAGTTGTTCCATCTCAGGTCAGTGGAGAGTATGAGACCAAGAAGGCACAGTGACATGCTCTTGTTGAGTTGAACATCAACCATGCTGATAGGAGGCCGGGGTGTTTCTCTATGGTGAGTAAATGACAGCAGTTTTGTTTTCAATGAAGTAAAATTCACAAGCCATTTCCTGCCCCAGTCAACCACAGAATGCAGGTCATTTTTGTGATCAATAGACAGGTTAATTCTGTCAGCAATGCTTGATTTACTATTGAAACAGGAGTAAATGGTAGTATCATCTGTGTAGATGCTGACTTGACAATTGATGACGTCAGGAAGATCATTGATGAAGCTCAAAAACAGTGTAGGATCAAGGATAGATCCTTGAAGAACACCGGTGTTTGAATAGAAGGAACTGGAAGAGAACCCATTCAGGACAAGCTTCATTTCAAGGTTAGACAGGAATGATTGGATTAAATCAAATAATCGTCCTGTAATATTGTATCTTGGGAGCTTACAGAGAAGGCTAGCATGCCAAGCCCTGTCAAACGCATTCAATATATCTAGAGCAACAGCTCGAGCTTTGCTCTTATTATCAAGAACTTGGTATACATATTTAGTTATGGCCGTAAGCAAGTCAGCGTTAGACTGGGCAAAGCAGAACCCATGTTGCTTGTCAGAGAGCAGATCATGGAATGTGAGATGCTTAACTATTTCGGCATTGATTAAAGCCTCAAAGATGCTCAGAGGCACATTTATTTAGGACTATGGCTGGTATCCTGTCACCACTATTTGCTTTATGAGTGTCTAATGATGTCTAATACCATTGATGGGGTTATGCACATCTCACTCAGTTCTAAGGAGAAAATCAGGTGTGGGTACCCCGGATAAGTTGTGTGTTGAGGTGGATGAGAATTTCTGAGCAAAGCATTCAGCCTTATCAGCTGAAGATGTTAGAACTTCCAATTGATTGAATAGAGGAAGGATTGAGGATTTGCTGTTGTTCAGCACACTCTTGCAGAGCCACTAATAATCTTTAGAATCAAACTTGCTAGATGCAATACATTGTTTCACCTTATCAGCAAACAGTAATTTTGCTTCATTGAGGACACGCTTGCACTCATTACAAGCATATACATATATATATTTTTTTGGCCCTTGCATGGAGTATTGCTGCCATATATGGTCTGGAGCCCCTTCCGTTTGCCTCGGGGTTCTTGATAAGCTCCAGATATAATTGGCCCTGTTCTGGCATCTCGTCTACAGTTGCTCTTTCATAGATGCACCGTCACCTCTCTTTGTCTTTTTTACAAATACTTTCATGGTAATTGCTCCAAGGAGCTGCATTCACTGGTTCCCAGACTTCATGAATTCAAGCGTCCTACGAGGCTGGCATCCTGCTCTCACCCTTTCACTGTCGAAACTACTAAATGTAGCTGTCTCTTCTACTCCAATAGCATCATGTCTTGCACCTCTCGCCTGTGGAACTCCCTTCCCTATTCCAGTTTCCCTGAGAGCTATAATCTCCAACTATTCAAATGCAATGTCAATCGACATCTCCAGTTGCCTTGATCTATCCACTATCCTTCTCCTCATCCTTTCCTCTATCACTCCTATCTGATCTTGCTCCAAATCTTCTGTAACCCCTTGCATGCTAGTGGCTTCCTGCCTTGCTTGGGGTGAAATGCTTAAAGGAAAAAAAAAAAAAATAGAGAGAGAGAGAGAGACAGCTGAAATTGAGGAAAGATGTATTTCACATAAATTTGGTTCATCCCAAAGCATATGGGAAAACAAAGTTCTTTACAAAACCAAATCCATATTACAGATGTGCAACAAATTACTTTTCAAGAGGAACTGCCCTTTTAAGAATAAATGTTTTAACTGTGGAAAGGTGTAAAGTTAAAAAAAAATAATAATAAAATGTCAGAATTTAAGAGTACCGTAAATGAAGCATCATGGAGAGACAATGCAGACAAGGGTCAGAAAAGAAAATTTATAATTGTAAAAATAAATAGAAGAAATGTCCTGTTTCAGCTAGACACAGGATCAGATTTGACTATTATAAACAAAGAAACATCGGAAAGAATTGGTAAACCAATATTAACATTACCAAAAAAATTGCTCAGGGCGTTAATGGGCAGAAATGTAAATTTAAAGGTGAGTTCACAGCAGATGTATCATTTTATAGGAAAATGATGAACGTTAAAGTATTCATGATGGAAAGAACTTATAACTTGTTTGGAACAGATTGGATGCAACTGTTCAGTTTATGGGATTTACCCATAAACTTTTTGTAATAAAGTGAATGACTCTTCTAGTAACTCTGAAATGCTAAAAAAGAATTGAAAATCAATTTCAGGAAATTTTTTCTTAAGGGTTGGGAAGATATCCAAGTTCCAGTTAAAGAAAACTGTGGTACCAATTTTTAAACCAAAGAGAAATGTGGCTTGTTTTGGATATGATAAACAAGGAATTAACTTGGAAAATATGAGAGTGATCGCCAAAGTGGATTAAAGTGATTGAGCCTCCACGACTGCAAGCAAGGCAACAAAGTGGTTACTGAGTGTGGGAAATTATGAGAAAAGGAAAAACCTTATTAAGGAAGAAGAAGAATAAAAAAAAAAACAGGAATTATGAAAACATAAGATAATGACTGACATTGCATTTAGAGTTTGAAAAACAAAATTGGCTGGAAAGCAAGAAGCTGGAATTTCTTCATTTACCATAAAGAGAATGAAACTCCATTTATATTAATGTTAATTCTAACCACCCCAATGCCATTGTGAGACAGATACCCACTACTGTTGGCACTAGAATTAGTAGATTATCATCCAACATAAATATCTTCAATAAAAATGAAGAATTGTATGAAAATGCTCTCCATAAAAGTGGTTTTAAAAATAAATTATCTTAACTCCCATAAGTAACACTGAACTATCTAAAGGGGAATATAGGCACAGAAATAGAAAAAGAAAAATTATATGGTTCCCCCCCCCAACACACACACACTTCTGCAAACTGCCAAATATTAATATCGGACAGTATTTTCTAAAATTAATAAATAAACATTTTCACAAAAACAACCCTTTAAGTAAGATCTTCAATAAGAAAACAATTAAAATTAGCTATTCCTGCACCAATAACATGTAAAAATTATCAACTCTCATAATAACCATATTTTAAGTAAATTCTATGAGATAAAAAACAAACCTAGCATGGAACCCTCCTGTAATTGTAGAGGTAAAGTGAATTGTCCAGTTGAGGGCAAATGCAGATCTACTAGGGTTATATACCAAGCAACCATTTTCCCCAAAGAACATATGTTAAATTATAATGTTAACATTGGAATTTCTGCAAGGGAATGGAAACAGATTTTATACCCATAGGCACTCTTTTTACCAACCCTAAATTAAAATACCAGACAGTTCTTTCAAAACATTTTGGGAATTGAAGGAGAAAGATCTGAACCCACAGATAGATTGGAAAGTTATAGGTTTCGCTCATACTCTTAATAATCTTAGAGATAAGTATAACTTGTGTTTAGAAGAAAAAATTAGAATAATAAAATACAATAATCAAAGCAAACTATTAAATCAAATGAATGAATTAGTTTTGAAATATCAATGTTATAGACAAGCACATGGTTGCAAGAAAGAAATACGACAACAGCAGAAATAGATTTACATGGTTTATTTCAACAGGAACGTGAGGGTTTGGGACAGTTACCTTGTGGTATACTTCATAAGCCGGCTTTGGATCTAGGTCGATCTCTCATAGTAGTTCACACATGTTGACGGTGGTTGATGCTCCCCTGCTGCTGTTCACTGGCCACCTGTTAACTACCTGTTGAACTTCCATGTGACCCCTTTTATAGCATTTTTTTATGGCTTAACAGGCTCGAAAAATGAAGCGAGTATAATTAGGAGGGAAGCATTTTTATTGGACGAAAAATAGAACACTTTAATATTATTTTATTTTTCGACTGGAACTCGTGTGTCGGAAACATTTGTAAATGAAGATAATGGTCATTTTGTGACGGGTCTTTGTCCCGTTCACATCCGGCTCTCACTCTTGAGTATTTGCCTGTAAATCAGCTGAGAAATGTCTTATTTCTTGTTATAACATCAACATAGAGGCAGATTTAAACTTCTTTTACTTTATTACTTTTTAATTCTCTAACTCTTCAAATATTGAATGCATAACTATTTCTAATTTCTATATTTCCATTTCTTCACCCTATTATAATTTATCACTTTCCACCTCTTTATCTATATATCTTTTAAAGTTTCTTTTATTTTTTTTTAAATATAACTTGCAATGATTTGATTTTTTAATATAACTTGATTTAACTTATCTTTAAAGTTAAAAATGAATAATTTATTTTATCTTAAAATTTTTATTCTTTAATATAAAATTTTTTAATTATATTCTTACTTAAATTTAATATAAATTATTTAAATATGATTTATTGTTAATCTTTTTAATATATCTCTTTTTTAAGTATAGTTTTTTTTTATTTTTTAAGTAGGAACCAACATTTTTTTATATATAATTAAATTTTTTTATATAAAACTCCCTTTTTGGTACTCTTTTAGTTTCAGTTTAACACCTCTTTCTTCATATAACCCCAATTTAATGTTATAAGGTTAATATCCAGGTTTAATTTTATAAAACCTCTTCCCTTTAAGGTAAATACCTTCTATATCCTCCCCTTGCCACTCACTCGGTCATTTTTCTGACTGAAACATCAAAATGGATATATTCTGTATCAATTTTTCAACTGCTGTCAAAGTTAAATTTTAAATTTCTAATTCCAACATGAACACAGTCTATACACCAGGGTTGAATAAGACTAACATACTTCTCATTAGTTAAAATAGATCTATACCTCATATGAGGTAATTTTAGATTTTGTTGTGTAATATATATATATATATATATATATATTTTAAATAAAAAAAACAGACCACTTTAAATTATTTGCTCTGGATTTACATTGAGCTCTCTGGATTTTATCCTCCTTAGGTTTACCCATATGGATTACCTAGTTTTTCATAAAATATATATATATATATATATATATATATATATATATATAAGTCATCCACAGACAGTTTCATTGTATCACAGCTCTTCAGTTTGGCTAGACGTCTGGTTGCTTCTAGCTAGAATCAAGACCCGGCTGAATTGGCGTCAGTTGGAGATTCTACCACTAAGCTGTCAGTGCACAACAGGGATGAAGGTGAATTTTAGCATATTTATTTTTAGATAAACACACAGTGACCAAGAGGACTCGATTCGCTTTACTGAAGAGCCTTGCATTATCAGCCATAATAGTCAGTGTTTCACATTTCCTTCTTCAGATAGCTCAACTGAAATAAATATTTCAGGAGCATATATATTGTCATCCGCAGACAGACTGTTTTGCTGTATCACAGCTCTTCAGTGTGGCTAGACGTCCAGTTGCCTCTAGCTAGGATTGAAACCTGGCTGAATTGGTGTCAGTCAGAGGTTCTACCACTAAGCTGTCGGCACACAATGAAGGTGAATTTTAGCGTATTTATTTTTAGATAAACACACAGTAACTAAAGTGGAGTAACAGAAACAAGCAAATTTTAACCTATAAGATATTATTTTTAAAATTTTCATGACTATAGCTTATTTTTGTTATATCTCTGTTAGTTACAAAATATTTCATGGCTTTATACAAGTTTTTTTTTATGTCAATGATATTAAAAAAAAGTGTTACTGGATGCAATCAAATGTTCTTCAGCACACTATATGATAACTAATTTCCTTCATTTTAAAATATTGTGTGTTTGAGGGTTAGTGCTTTTTTTAAGAGTTTTTTTTTTATTAAGGCCCATGGAAAGTTATAACTTGTAGTAAGAATAAATAAGTGACTTATAAATTTCAATATTTACTTTCAATACTGTTATTTTTATTTATTTGTAGCTGGTGGAGAACGAAAAAGTTGGGGCAAAAACTGGTTTCATAATTCCAGTGTTTGGACCACTAAACTGAACAACCAGGAACAGCAAGTACGCACTCCTTATATTACAGGTTGAAAAATTTTCACTATCTTTGTCTCCCAAACACAAGCTTTCAATAACTAAAAAAAGTGGACACTGAGAAGACTGTCCCCTCAGTGTTGACCTCGGTGTCCACTTTTATATTTATATATGCTCTGTCCCTGATATTGAGCACTTTAACCCATAAATATAGCATACCTTAAAACTATATTTTTATCATATAAATAAAGGTATATTTAGGCAGCAAGCAAGTATTCATCCAAACAAGTCTGATTAAAAATGACTGACAAAGTCTGTCTGTTTAATTTTTTATTATACTTTTCCAATTTTTGAATAAGGTGTTGAGTATTGTGCTCAAAATTGTGAATAAGTTATCCAAACACTATTTATATTATTCGGACTATTGTCCTCATCTTTGTCGCCATATTTATTACATTTCGGCTGTTGTATGCTCCGGCCTTCTTCAGGTGGTTGGAATGTTGAACTGAGCCCTTTATTTCGCTCACTGGGGTAGACTGTTCTAGTTCCACATGCCATTTTTAATGGATGTCAGTTATCAGTTATCTCCTGTTAATTCCCCTCTGCAAGTTCTCCACTGCCTTAACCTGGTATTGAACTCACACTCTTTGGGTCCTGTCACTGGATCTAACTAATGCCTTTATCCACTGTGCCATAATACCTCATCTCAGAAATATAGACAGATACTGAAGCTATCCAAAGTTCATATTGTGCCATTGTTTTATTCAAGTACTTCTGATCATCTCAGTCATTATCAAGAACCAATGTGGTGTCTCTGTGTGGTAGTTAGAATTTGTTTACATCCTGGTATCTTTTGGAAAGCTGGAAGTTTGAAATAGTCTAATGTGATGTTATGTGCAATGGTTATTGGCAACAAGACTGCACCAAAAGAATGTGATTTATTTTATTTATTTTTATTATTTTCATTTATTTGTATTTTTCACATAATAATATATGAACATATTAATACACTTCAAGATAACATCTCCTGTAGTGAATGATATTTTATTTGATGTGAATTGTTTATTTTCTATAATAATAGCTTCTAGAATTTTCCTTGCATTGGGTGTTGTAGAGTATTTTAGTATTATCAACAAATAATTGATTGTTATATTTTGGTCATTCATGATGTACTGGTTGAATACTAGGATATAGACAAAGGAATTCTAACTATCTAAATTATTGCTTTTATTGATACCATCACTATTTAGGAATTAAATCACTTTCCAATTCACTGTCAGAGTAAGAAGTCAAAAGACAGAGAAATTTCTTGTGAAAAGTCTTGTCAAATGTTCCAGAGCCAAAAGATTTCTCATAAGAACTTAGAAGAATTTCTCATGAGATATATTATCATTTTACTCTATGTGGTTATCTCATTCCTTATGTACCGTTTATTATGACAGGTAGGATATATTAAAGAAGTCAAAACATTCATTCATTCTTTTCATTATATATATACATAAAGGAAATGATTTTACTTTAGAAATGCATTGCAAGTAATTTTACTGTTGGAACGCAATGCATTAGATTGTTATGGGTATTATCCTTTTCTTAGCTACAGCTTTTAAAAGTAATTGGTGAGGATTTTGTTGGCTGTTCCCATTAATCCCAGTAGTTGTAAAAAGCAGATTTAGAGAGAAAGAAAGGCAAATCATGTGAAACTGGATACAAGCAGTTAATAAGAGTGAACCATTCAGGGTGACATACATTGAAAACAATTTATAGCAAACAAATAATAAGAAAGAAATGTGCACATGTAGTTGGTGTATAAAATGTCTGTACCTGAAATGTACAATTGTGTGGGTCTTTTTTTTTTTTTTATAGGACAATGAAATGTGTCCTGGTTATGAGAGATCTATTTTTGGAGACCTTAACATATGTGTCTATCTACAATGATGAGTCAGTGAAGAAAGAGCCAAGCCTTATGATCAATGTCCAGAAGGAGAAAAAATGAGGAAGAAAGTGGCTTGCTGCACCTTTTTATATGCTCATGCAAGAGATTCTGATTGGCTCACCAGGAGAATCTATGTAATGTCTATTTTTGGACATGGAAATAAGGATGACATGCCAATTTTAATTTCTAAATACCATAAATTATTTTCAGCGCTAACAAAATAAATGTTGGTTACTGTAACAGATTGATGAACTCAATAAAAAAGGTCCACACTTCATACTGATATAATTACTTTTATTTAGAAAAAACTAGAAATAACAATATGCAATACAAATGACTTGAAGAAAGTGCATTTCAAAGAAATACACAAACAAGGAAAATATTTTTCAAACAAGAACTTGGAACTCAAAGAAATGGTAAAGAGACCAATGGTGTCCTACAGATTTTCAGACTTTAGTAGGCAGCAGATATTTACAATGTTGCCTCATAGACCAGCAGTAGCTAAAGAACACATGGTAGTTTCCTTACCTCTAAGAGTTCATGTAGCAGAAGATTTGCAGAAAATTACAGGTAAACACATGTATGTATGTATATATGTGATAAACGTTTATTTTTATGTAATATTAAAACTTATCCTCATAATTTTAACCCTATTAATACTGTTGTTATGCTACTACTAAGTAGAACGGTCTTTAACGCACATATCAAGCCCTTCGGGGATCATTATATTTTTTTTTTTTTTTTTTTTCTAAGCATTGTGCCCCAAGCAAGGCGTGAAGCCACTAGGATGCAGGGGGTTGCGGAAGATTTGGAGCGAGAGCAGATAAGAGTGATAGGAGAAAGGAAGAGGAGAAGGATAGTGGGTAGATCAAGGTAATTGGAGATGTTGATTGACATTACATTTGAATAGTTGGAGATTATAGCTTTCAGGGAAACAGTAATTGGGGAGGGTGTTCCACTGGCGAGAAGTGCGAGGTATGAAGCTATTGGAGTAGAAGAGACGGCTACATTTGAAGGTTTCTATGGTGTAAGGGTGGGAGCGGGATGCCAGCCTCATGGGGCGCTTGAATTCATGGAGTCTGGGAACCAGAGAGAGCAGCTCATCAGAGCAGTTACCATGGAAGTATTTGTAGAAAAGACAGAGAGAGGCAACGGCGCGTCTGTGAGAGAGTGACTGCAGACAAGACGCTAGATCAGGGCCAATTAGATTACATATCAGTCTCTGGATCTTGTCAAGAACTCCGAGGTAAGCAGAAGGTGCTCCAGCCCATATATGGCAGCAATACTCCATGCAAGGGCGAATGGTTGTTTTGTATATTTGAAGTATTGATTCAGGGGAGAACAATTTCCTGGCTGCACAGAGAGCCAACTTTCCTCATGGTGGAAGAAGCAATTGACTCAATGTATTTGTTCCATCTCAGGTCAGCAGTCAGCGTGAGACCGAGCAGACGCAGGGAGTTGCTCTCAGGAAGTTGACTATCTGAAATTTTAATGGGGGGCAGGGAAGGATCTCTATGGTGGTTAATTGAGAGTAATTTAGTTTTTGTGGCGTTAAATTTGACCAGCCAATTCTTGCCCCAGTTAACAACCGATTGGAGGTCCATTTCAAGACGCACGGGCAAGGTTAGTTTTATTTTGCCCGACACTAGATTTGTTTTTGAGGCAGGAGTAAATTGTAGTGTCGTCTGCATAGATGCCAACTTGGGAATCTATAGCTTCAGGAAGGTCATTGATGAAAATAAGGAAAAGAGTGGGGCCAAGGATGGAGCCTTGGGGCACACCTGCGTTCGTGGGATAGGAACTGGAGGAGAATCCGTTGAGAATGACCTTCAATTCTCGGTTAGACAGGAATGATTGTATTAGATCAAACAGTTGACCAGTAACACCATACCCCTGGAGCTTCTGAAGAAGGCTGGCGTGCCAAACCTTATCGAATGCTTTGGAGATGTCGAGGGCCACAGCACGAGCCTCACTGTTATTTTAAAGGGCTTGGTAGACGGTTTCAGTGATGGCCGTAAGCACATCAGCTGTAGATCGGGCGTAGCGGAAACCATATTGCTTGTAATTTCATCAGAATGACTGCTAAGAACATCCTCGTTCTAAATTTATAGAAAAATTGTACAGATGCATGCTGGGATTTCTTCCTAAAAATTTGACAATTCTCAGTCTTATCCCTCATACTTTTGTTGTTTCTTGCCTTGAAGTCAGAATGCAATTAACCATTTGACTGCATTTCTTTTGCGTGTGAACACACTTCTTATTTTATGAACATTTTTTGCTTTATTGCTGTTACTTTGCTTCACCTTTTTCTTTTTTTACTTGCATTTTATATATATATATATATATATATATATATATATATATTAAGACATTTTTATGTTTATACATTCTTTTTTTATAGATACAAATATTTAAGTAAATGCTCTGTTTATAAAAACAGTATTAACAACATTTACTGGCCTGAATGTCTGACAAATTGTCATAGAAAATAAGCGTCTTCCAACAGGAATCGAATGGAAGATTGTAGTTTAAAAACAGTAAAATCAACCTTGCTAACCGAACGCTCCTCTGTGGTGAAATTGGTAAAAGCACGTCAGGCTATATGACGGTTATGCATAGGATACAGGTTCGATTACTGTTGGAGGACACATATTTTCTATGACAATTTATCGGACATTCAGGCATGTAAATGTCGTCCATACTGTTTATTATAAACAGAGCATTTACTTAAACATTTGTATCTATAAAAAAAGAATGTATAAACATAAAAATGTCTTAAAATAATTGTCGGACTTTGTCCATTTCATTATATATATATATATATATATATATATATATATATATATATATATATATATATATATATATATTCTTCCTCTTTTATTGAGAACTTTGTCAATTACATTTAATCATGGCCAATTATTCCACAGATTATGGGCCCAGATATGGAATCTGTTTTAATGAATTCAAATATGAATTATGGGAAATAAAATTTTTAGGATAAATGAGAATCCTCAAATTATTCCACAATAAATATACCTGTCAGTTAGGAAAACAAAAAAATTGATGCTTGAACACTAAATTTTATTTTTTACTTGAAATTTGTTCCAATTCTGATTTCAGAAAGAAATTTAACTGATTGATCTGTTCTTAAGTCTGCAGGTGTTAATGTTAATAAGGTATTTAAGAGATAAGTAGATGATGTTTTTCAGGTAATTTAAAAAACATTTTTATTCTGTTTATTAAATTTGTCTATTACTACAAAACCTTCTATATTCAGTCAATCTTGCTTCATTTACAGCAGTTAAAACAACTAATTTTTTTTTTTTTTTTTTTAAATCTTTTCATCCCAAAGAAGGGGGTCACAGAGAATGAAAAGTGAAATAGAAAATTGAGAATAGGGAGGATCCAGAAAAGAACAAAGGATGGCAATTGATGTTACATTTAAGTTTTTGAAGATTGTATTTATCAGGGAAGCAAGTAAACAGAAGGGAGTTCCACAGGTGGGAAGTGCAAGAAAAGAAAATGTTGGAGTAGAACTGATCGTTGCATTTAGCTATTTTAACAATAAAAGAGCGGGACTGAGATACCAATCTAATAGCCCGCTTAAATTCATGTAGTCTGAGCATCAGGGAAAAAGCTCATCAGAGCAGTTACCTTGAAAATATATGTAGAAAAGACAGGGAAGCCATGTCACGTTGGTGAGAAAGTAACTAAAGTCAAGGTGCCTGGTCAGGATCAATTACATTGCAGATCCTTCTTTGGATTTTGTCAAGAATCTCAAGATGTACAGCAGGTGCACCAGACCAGATATGGCAACAGTATTCAATGCACGGACGAATGGTAGATTTATAAATGAGCAAGAAGGATTCTGACAAGGAAAACTGTCTGGCACAACACAACGAACCCAACTTTCCTTGCAGTAGATGCAGCTATTGATTCAATGTAATTGCTCCATTTCATTTCAGTGGGAAACATGAGGCCAAGAAGGCACAATGTGTTGCTCCCCTGGAGTCACGTTAGCCATGGCGATGACAGGCAGGTAAAGTTTCTCTATGGTGGTTAAATGAAAGCAGTTTTATTGTGGAGCCATTAAAATTTACAAGCCATTTCCTGCCCCAGTTAACCACTGACTGGAGGTCTTTTTCAAGAGCAGCTGCCAGGCTTACTTTGTCAGCCCTGACAGATTTTGCTATTGAGACAGGAGTGTTATCTACATAAATGCCTACTTGGGAACTTATTACATTGGAGAGCTAATTGAAATTAAGAAGCAGATAGAACAGAAGAAACTCTTTTGCCATGTCTGTTTTTCTTTCAAAAGACACCTTTCATAATTCATTTATGAGTTACAACAGTTAAGCATACTTTTTATCATTGCTACAAAGTAGTGGAATTGACATCAACTTAAGTGCTATTTATTAATTATATAAATATATCCTACACCAGTCCCTTGACATTTTAAGCTTATGGCCACATTATGTTGAAACATTGGTTCTCATACGATCATCAAAGTTAAGCAACATTGAACCTGGTCAGTACATAGACAGGAATACCAGGTGCTGTAAGCTTGGATGTGTGGGTAGTGTAATGGATAACAACTCGGAATGAGAATTCTGAGAGCTGACTTTGGATTCCAGTTGGGTTTGTTACATTCATTTACATGCAAATACCCTTGGGACAAATTATGAATCCACTTCCCCTCCCAGCTATGGGTTGAATAGTAAGACTTGTATCAGAAAATTATTATTACCTCTGAAAAATTCTCATAATTCAATTTCGGCTTTTAATAACTGTCATGGTCCAGGTTAGGACCAAGGAGGAAAAACACGAACACAAAAGAAGAAATAACGAAGGTATATTACACGAAATAATAATACAAGATGTGGAAGGTGTTAGTATGACTGTCAGTCTGGTTTAGAGTGAACTACTATCGGCTCGACTCGATTCAGTATCTAGCCACCCTCCCACGAGGGTTGCATGTGGCACAAGGCCGAGTTTAACGTGGGTTTCCCGAGCCCGTAGGCTTGGCCATAAAATGCCCGTAGAACCCTTATAAACAGGATCAGGTTGGTCAACCTTCCCCGAACGAGAGACTGCCCTTCGGCGGAACCTCATCCAGGTTCCTCTCTGCTCAGAGACAGAGAGTTCGACTGTCAAGCCAAGAAGCTCGGCTCAATTTGACCCTCTCTTTTGAGAAGCATAGTATACATAGTGTTAGGAAGTGTTCATTCTGTAGTTATAGGTAAGGACCCATGACAATAAACTTAAAAAATTTGATGAACCATAAAAAACAAATCGGTCAAAAGAACATCTATATTTTTTTAAATTTTCCAGTGGCCTGGGCCAGCTCAGTATCAACATTCTGAATACCAAAATTCTGATATAAATTCCTGTACTTTTGGTAAAAGTGAGCTGAATTCTTCTTTCAAGGCAGGTGAGTAAAAGTTATCCATTCTATAAACGGTAATGACCCCCCCTTCTTTTTACATTTATGAAAATTTAAGAGCTGTAAATTAAGCCTTAAAAATAACATTGTGTCACAATTATTAGGTGTGTGTAAAAGTTTCTAGAACTCCAATTTTTCTTTTTAAAGGAGAGACTGAATACACAGCAGAAAAATTTTTTTAATTAAATAATTTTTTTTTTTTTAACTGCTGGAAACTTTTGCATCCATCTAATATTAAGCATTGCTTAGCCTAGCATAAGGGTTCAATCACAGTACCTTCTGCTTCAAAGTAGTCATCTTTCTAAATACTGATTAAGTTTGGCAGTGCTTAACTCAGGTGACCAGATGGGAACTGGTCCTTTTGATTTAATCATAACATTAAATCATTGTGAATCCAACACATAAACTAGCCTCATGTCACATTAAAGAACAAATTTACCAAACGAGCTTCAATCTCCATTTCCTGTAAAATTCTTCTAGCATGAACTTGTACCTTTTAAGATGTCATAATTGCTGATGGAAGGAAAACTTAACCATTGTCTGGCTCTTCATTTTTGGGTTTAATCAGATTTTCATGTTGTTGGCTCATTAAACCCAGCATTTTAACATGATTAATGTGACCCTCGTTTTACTAGTGGCTGTTATTGTCATGATTGAATCAGTAATCTGAAGTATTTCTGCCTGACTTTCCTTCTCCTGAGTGATATGCACATAACTCTGTTCATGGTTTCTGCTATCATTTCTAAACCTGATCCCCACAAAATTTACGGATTTGACTATCCCACCAATTGTTCGAAAGAAATGTGCTTATGAACTGGCTCTTGTTCTCTCCAAACTTTATAATAGATACCTCACTGCTTCTTTTCTGTAGTTCATGTTTTTAAGAACTCTGAGGAACCTTCAGATCCTCTAAAATTATTGCCCTATTAATCTTTTACCTATTTTTGGCAAAGCACTAGAGGTTCTGATCAACACTGAATTAGATAAGCATCTTACTTCACATGGCCTTCTTTCGGATAAACTTTATGGATGCTGTTTCTCCAGGTCTATCTATGATGTGTTAACAGCTATCACTGAATTTATCCATCAAGCCTTAGATAAGAATGGCAAAGCTCAGGTATGACTCTATATCTCAAAGATGTTCAACAGGGTTTGACATATTGGCCTTCTCCACAATTTCAAGGGCTATGGTGTCTGTGGATGAATATTTGGTTTAATCCAATTGTCCTGAACAATTCATTTAATGAAGTTTATTTTCTTTACATTAGAGTGTCCTTTGGTATTTGGTGTAGCAAAAAGGTAAATGTTGGTAGCAGTCTAAAAAAAAATATCTGTTAGTGGTAGTTTGAAGTCAGATCATAATAGGGGTAGTAGTAATTATTAAAAATAGGTCAGTGTCAATCTACTGTGTTTTTATTGAATTTAAGCAGGGCAGAAACATCATTAACAAATGATCTCTTAACTTCTCCTTTAGGCATCATGCATGACTAGTTTCTACATGGTAGAGTATCCCTTTATCCTCTCTTTCTAGCTGAGAGTTGTCAGCTTAAATACATTTTGACTAGGCTCCAAGAATCTGGCACAAACATTGGTTTCAGCTAACACCAAAAGTCTCTTTGTGTTGATTTTTTTGATTGGCCAAAATTATTTTATTTTCCGGTCTTTCTTTCTTTTTCATAACGAAAATTATGTGTGGAGCCTCCCTGATATTTGGTATTTTTTTGGTCACAAATAAGTAGGCTCTGCTCCTGCAAACTTCTGGTGTTTTTCAGTTGGGTACAGTCTTTTCTTCTCCTTCCTCTTTTTATTTGATGGTAGCCTTTTCATTAGTTGAAAGAAGTATAGAAAGAGAAGTATATATAGAGAAAAAAAGAAATGAAGATTTTAAAGGAAAGCGCAAATGCCTTTTTTAATTAGAATTCTTTTTATTTTTGTTTGTTTTATTCTTATCAGGACTCACTACAAAGAAAATGATTTCATTAGCTTTCATTATTCTGCTCCTCACATATGTCTGATACAAAGCACCCACTCGATGAAAAAACTCCAGAGATTTTAATTGCGCTTTTACACCAACCAATCGGATAGCTGGAAATTGATCATCTGCAGAAAACCCACATTTTACTTTGTCTTTTTTTTAGTAAACAAAGCAGGAATCTTTTGTACTCAAGTAATAAATTGGCAATAATAAGATGGAAATAATTATGTTTCATTTTACTTTCCCTGTTAATCAAATTCTACGATAAGAATATAGTTTTTATCATTCGTATTTCTGAGATTTTGGCAGCTTATGGCCATGTACGATCACTGAAGTTAAGCAGTGTTGAACCTGGTCAGTATTTAGATGGGTGACCAGTTGGGAATCTCAGGTGCTGTAAGCTTGGATGTGCATGTGGTGTAATGGATAATGGCTCAAAAATGTTGACAGGTGCTAGCACCCCGGGTTAATTGGAGAGCTGAGATCCAATTTCAGTTGGGTTCATTATATTCACATGTGCAAATATGTCAGGAAAGTTATGAATCCACCTCTTCTTCCCCCAGGCAGGGGTTAATTAGTAAAACATGTATCAGTAAATCGTTATTATCTCCCACAAGATTTTTACAATCTAAAAATATGTTCTGACTTCAAATAACCTGCAAAATGTTTATAAGCTATAAAAAAACAAATCAATGCACATATAAAAGCTTTATACTCTCAATAAGGCTTCCTCACCTAAAATTCCTTTTTCAGTGTATTTTTATAGTAAAAGGATAGAAAAAGAGAATGTCAAATCTTTTATCTCAAGTATAATGAATGACACAAATAGAAAAAACACAAGACTCTTAACTTCCTGTGAAAGTTGAAAGAAATTTACATTTATTAAATGACATGAAAAATAATAATAGCATAGAATACAAAATTTATAAAACAAGGTTGCACAAAATTTTCCTTTGTGCACCTAACACTTAGGCAAGATAACAAGTTCTGATTACAATTCTGTTGGGCTCAAAAAACAATCTTATAATCTAAAAATATATTCTAGCTTCAAATAACCTACAAGAGGTTGATAAGCCATAAAAACAAAACAATCATTTTTACTTTGAGAATTGTGATGGAAAACAAATTGACAAACATAATTTTCTTAGAGTAGAATTGTTGAGCTGAGGTTGGGTGATTTTGTTTAGCATCATATCACCCTCTATGGGTTATTTAATGCTGAAATCTAAATATTTTGAATGTAATTGTATACCTTCAACTACAGATAAACTATATTGTTGGTAATTTTACTATAAATAGGTATTGTTGGTAATTTTTACATAAAAATGTATTGCTGGTATTTTTACTATAAAAATGTATTTTGTTTTTGTTTGGGGCTTCATTATTTGTCCATAGCTCAGACTCTAGCAGGTGCTACCACCCCGAGTTAAACTGAACCTGGGAATAACAGCATTTAAGAGGTGGGTCCACATTCTTCAAAATTTTCAATCTCCTGCTGCCAGATGTAGTTTGTCATACCCAGGACTATGTTTAGCTTAGTAAATATGGATATGTTATAGAGTTTTAGACATTTTGTATCAATATCAGTGTTACATGTCGTACCTATGAACACTAATGGGTATGTCCCAATCCTCATAATTATGTTAGACACTATTGTAAGTGGGAGTAATATGCTGTCTAAGTAGTCCACCACGAGCAGTGGTTTACCTACTCCACGCCGCTGGCGAGTGTTGTATTTTGTTGATGCTATAAAGATTAGCATTTCATTTCCAACCTCTGTTTTGGTTATTCCTCATTCAGTAACACTTTCTAAGTTACAACAATTAGTGAGCATTTTTATTGTTTCAGAGGCTGAATTAATACCAGCACCGAATAAGTATGACCGGAGCAAGAGTGACGTCCAAATCTACAGTACGCCAGCCTCTTTCTCACTCTCTGGATCTCAACGGATGACTACCTTGTGGCCAGAAAATTCTCGACCAGGTACAACCAAAATTTTTTTTTCATTAATATTAACTATCAAAGATAACATTATCTAAATTGGAGATCATAATTTTGTACAGACAACATTTAAAAAATATATATAAAAGAAAATGATCTATTGTATATTGAATTGTTTTCAATCTGAACTTGAATAATTTAAAATAAAAAACAATTCAGTTCATATTCTGATTTGATTGATTGATTTGTTTTTTATGGCTTATCAGGTTATTTAAAGCCAGAAAATACAACCCAATTTATGAAATGTAAAATGGATTGGAAGTTATTAGCACATGCATTGAAAAGAAAATCTGTTATAACCTTAAATTAAAAAAAATACATGAAACAATTATTAATTAAAAGAACTATCATTCTAAATATTTGTCCAATGTAGCATAAGTATTAAATATTTGCCTTAAATAAAGCTAGCAAGAGACTTATATAGGGTGTTTCATTAAGACAGATCAAAGTCAGCAGTAAATAAATCAGTGTTATTGGTGAAAATTTATTTATTTCTCTATTGAATCATGTTATTTAAGTCATAGCAATTTAAGTCATAGCATATGTGTGAAAAATAATATCATCCAAATATTGCCAATGCTTTGGTGGCACACCTCTATTTTATGGTCAAAATTTTTTATGATTTCGCTGCATAATTGCTCCTCAATCTCACCAATATGCCTTATTATCTCATCTTTCAGCTGTTGAATTGTTGTTGGCATAGATCTTACTTTTGAGTTGACCCCAAAGGAAGAATTCTAAAGGCGTCAAGTCACATGATTGTGGTAGCCAAATGACATTGCTGTTTCAAGAGATGATGCGACCTGAGAACTTCTCATTCAAATTCTGTTCAAATGTCCTTTTTTGTAATAGGCTTCAATAACTTTAACATGTTGTTTGATTGTTGATCTTTCCATGGTTGAAATTGCTTAAGTAGTTAAATGTGAAAGAAAAAGAAAAAAATCATTAGACACTTAAACTTAATTCACATTTACAATTTGTCCATGTTATTGGAACGCCCTTTATTGCCCACATCTGGTAAAAATAGGTCAACAGGTTCTGCTCTCATCCCTACAACTTTGCATATATCTCTTTAAACTGTCTTATCTCTCTCTTTCTCCCTCTCTTCTCCTTCCCCATTTCTCTTTCATTTCCCCATTTCTCTTCCCTTTCCCCATTTCTCTTCCCTGCTTTGAATACATATCCTTTTTCTACTCCCTCCATTTTATTCCTCCTTTTTTCCCACTCTTTTCCCTTTTCCTTTCCCTTCTTTCCCCACCATTCTGAATACATATCCCCTTTTTTTTCTCTCCTTTCTCTTTATTCCTTTTCACAAATTTGAATCTACATATTTAAACATAATTTATGTTTAGATAAATATTTTGTGCCTGGTAAAATTTTAAATCCATTTTTTGTGAAAAATGTGAAATTTGTGTCTGATGAGTTAAAATTGAAGTATCGGATTTAATGAAATAAAATATTACCATGAATTTTTAAAGTCTCCACTTTCATAATATATATATATATATATATATATATATAAACATGCAATTATGTGTGATCAGGTAAGTATAGATCAAAAGTGGTCATGAAAGGTTTTATATATTTATTTTTAGTTAAGAACAGAACACTTTGCAGCCATTGTCAGAATGGAACAGCCGCCTTCTTCTTCTTGTACTATGTCCTTATTTGTTCTTGTTTATTTTTTGGTTTTGGTTTGTACAACGATAATGTTTTAGGTAATCCATTCTTACACCTGCTATCATGTTTATATCCTATATTGAAGATACAGCAATGTTTAAACTTTATGCCCACAAAAAAACAGTATATCAAATGGATGTTTTTCCCTTGACACCACTATTGTTTTCATTACCTTTACTCCTAAGCAATGTTTCTTGTTTTAAAAAGTGATGATTAGAATTATAATAAAACCTAAATATATGATAAAAGTCAATTTATACACTTTTTCTTGAGAATTTACAACAAAAATGCAATGTGCGATGGATAAATTGTCGTCTAAATTATACAAAAATGAAAATAACACTTGATGATCTACTCCTTCAACAGACACCCAGTCTCAGCTAAACCACCATCTTGTCAAAGGAAACTACAACAACAACCAACAAAGAGGAGATCACTCCAAACAGACTTCCTTTTATCTATAGAAAAGAGGAGACAACTCAACAGTCTTAACTCAGATTAACAACACTGACATCTCATTTTAACAGATATATTTACCAAAATTACACAAAAACATCTTGAAATATTAAAGAGTAAATTTATTCAATAAAATTGCCATTGGCTTCAACCATGGTCTCTGGATGGCTTTGGAATCTCCTACATCTCTTCTGGACGGTCTCCTTGTTTAAGTTGGTGAATGCTACCATAATCCTTGCCTTCAGTTCATCTTTAGTGTTACAAGGAGTTTTGTTGGTCTCTCACTCAACTGCACCCCACACATAACAGTCAAGGGGGTTGCAGTCTTGGGAGTTAGGTGACCAGATGTAAAAAGTGATGTGGTCAGAGAAATTGTCTGGCAGTCATGACTGGATTCTTCTACATGTGCAGCATGGTGCAGTGTCTTGTTGCCAGATATAGGTTCTTCCAGCAGCCACCCTGTCATGGGTCCTCACCTATAACTACAGAATGAACTCTTCCTAACACTATGTATACTATGCCTCTTAAGAGAGAGGGTCGAATCGAGTCGAGCCGATAGTAGTTCACTCCAAACCAGACTGACTTGACCAGGGTAGCACTATCTCCACAAGGCACTTGAGGTAGACTTCCATATTGAATCTGAGGCACTCACCAACAAATTTGGGAGTTCTTTTCTTATCAGAAAGATCAGAGTGAGTTTTCTGAGCTTCTATACCTTTGTAATCACCATTAGACTCCTCCAACTCTTCCCAAATCCTCTACACTGTCCTCAGATTGACACCCAAACACTCTGAAATGTTCGTATTGGGCTTCCGGCATGAATACCAAGCAGTACAGCCTGCCACTTCCAAATTTCTGATGGAGTGAATTGCATTATCGGGCTCTTTTTCCCAGAGATGGTGCCCAACTGACTCTACTGTGCAGTCAACAAAATTAAAAACAACATACATGCATGAAATTAAAAATATAAAAGGACGACAATTTACCCATCGCACCCTGTATTAAACACTATTTATTTATTTATTAGATTGATTATTTACAAGAATAATTTTATATTTAAAACATTCTAAAACAAATACAATTAGAATTAATGCAATATTTATCCTTTATGAATTTATAAAGAAATAGATTAGAAAACAATTTTTTATTCATAAATTTATAAACATTTACTAAATTATTAAAATATGCCAACCACCTGCAAAGAAATCCTTATTATTTATGATTTTATAAAATTTGAATCAATTAGGAATTAGCCAATGTTTTACCAATCATTCCAATAAATAATATAATAAATAATTAGTATTTATTATTTTTCATTGTCAACTCTCAAGAACAAAGAAAATGTATCTATTCACTATCATATGTTTAGGTTTTATTAATATTCTGATCATTGTCTTTTAAAACAATAAACATTGCTGAGGAGTGAAGGTGAAGCATGGTGGAGTAATGGTTAGTGACATGGATTAAGGAATCGGAGATCCTAGTTCAAATTTCAGTTGAGTTCATTACATTTACTTACATGCTAATACTCTTAGGAAAGGTATGAATCCATCTCTTCTCCCCCAGCTATGGGTAAAATAGCAAGACAGACTAGGTCCTATCACCTTGGGTCACAACCAGTCTAGGAGAAGAAAACTGAATTCAAACCAGATTGTACTATCTTATACATACAACTGGAGACCACTTATAAATCCAAATTCCCACTAAAACTCCTAATATGAACTTGCACATCTGAATGAATATGATCTCTGCTATGCGTGGTCAGCTGTTATTCAGATGCAGTGACTTCATTTGACAGAGCTGGCTCAACTGACTGGGTGAATGCTACAACAAGTACAAGTGATTGAAGGTAGTTAAAATAATAGCAGTGTCAAGGAAAAATCCGTCCTTTTGATACAACAATTTTTTTGCAGACATAAAGGTTAAAGATTGCTGAAGATACTTTCTGTAGTTTTAAGATGAGCTGTTATACATCCAGGCGTTGTTCACACTATTGAGCTCATTCTTTCTCTTGTTTTTGTTGTTACCGCGATGATTTTTGCTGTGTTGGTGTATTTCTATTCTGTTTGCTACCATGTTTTTAATAGTCACTACCATTCAGATGGTCCATCACAATTGATTACACTTGTTGCTGTTTTCAGAAGAAACAAACTGAAAATAGTCTGGGGCATAGTGATCAGATGTTAGAAGGAATTACATCAATGTGAAAATGAGAAGGGTCAGGAGTGTATTTGGTGAAGGAATGGATGAAGGAATTTTGGGGTTATTTTGGGAGGAAATCATGTCTTTGAGTAATGTACCTTATCAGGTGGGTATATTGATTCCCCTTTACTAACAGAGACCATGTATCACTTTTTACCTATGGGGGAGTGGCAGAAGAATATCTGGTTTGTGCTACAAAGAATCAATTGCCTCTTTCAAGTGTATAAGGATACACTTGAAGAAGGCTGCAGAATGAAGCAGCTGAGATATTGTAACAAAAGCATCACAAAGAATGAGTTCAATTGTCTGAACAACTGACTCATGTCAAAATTACAGAAAGGATCTTCTATACAGATTGTATATCTGAAGAAAGTAGTAGAATAAATTGGCTGAAATGTTTTGGTAACAACCAGGGCAATAAAAAGAATGAATTCAGAATTTTAAACAATTATTGGATTGTAAAACAAAAATGTTCTTTATATCTAAATTTAATTTTTTTTTTTTTTATAATCATTTTTTTTATTTTATTTGTTAATTTTATTTTCTCAGAAAAGACTCCAGGTCCAGGCAGTTATTCCCAAATCAAGACAACGTATCCACTGAGGTCATCTTTCAGACGCAGAGAGAAACCAATCACTGGCCCTATCTATTGATTAATTTTACAAGCAATAATTTTCTTACTTTTTTTTTTTTAATTTTATAAATATTTATGCATAACTCTGTGAAAAGATGCCCTTTTAAAATAGATTTTTTTTTTTATAAGTAGGCATTATGCATTAATATTTATAAAAGTGTGCTCTTTTGAAAGTTAATTTCTTTTATTTATGCATTATTATATATATATATATTATATATAATAGGGGTAAGTAAATGACAAGGTACCAAAAAAAACTTTTAAGCATCACGTTTTGTTCAGAGAAAGCACTTCTTCAGACTAATAATGGTTTTATTACATATGAAAATGCAAAGAAAATGGTGGTTTGAGAAATACAACAAATCCTGGTTAAAGTTTAAATTATAATGTTAAAGGTACAGAGACACCCAGCCTTTAAATTGAAATCTTGATGTCTGATATTTCTAGATGTTAATGTATCCCATTCAGCTTTTTATTGTTTTTCCTTTATATTGTTATTCTTGTCTGAATAACAATTTTTATAATTTCAATGTTTAAAAGCAAAAGTAATTTAATAAGGATAAAATATATTGAAAGCACACTGATTTTGGAATCTTCTATGGTAAATTTCCATCCAGAAGTATACAACCTCTCTCGTATCCTTGCAAAATTACTTCTAATAAAATGTCACATAAAAGACAATATTGACAAAATTAATACAAATACAATATGTTATAAAAAAAACAACAACAATAAAAAGTGAGTGATAATTGTTTTTTATTTAATCATTTCATCCCAAGTAAGGCAATAAAGCCACTAAGATGCTGGGGGGGGAGGTTACTGAGAGTGAAAGAAACTGAGAAAATTTTATAGAGGAGAGAGAGGACAATAAAAGAACAGAATTCAAGGAGACAGAAGGTGTCCGTTGACATAGCATTTAAATTTATGAAGATCATAGTTGACAGGAAAGCAAGAAGCAGGAAGAGAGTTCCATGGAAAAGAAGTGAAAGAAAAACTATTAGAATCAAACTTATAGTTACATTTAGCAATATCAACAGTAAAATGATGAGACCTAGCTGCCAATCTAGTACTGTGTTTAAATTCATTAAATCAAGGTACCAAAGAGGAAAGCTCATTAGAACAATTACTATGAAAATATTTATAGAAAGGGAAGCTACGCTACAGCAGTGATTGAAAGGAGTGATTGAAGCTGAGGTGCCAGGTCAGGACTTAGAACATTGAAGTTTCTTTGTATTTTATCAAGAATTCTAGATGCATAGCAGAAGCACCAGACCAAATGTGACAGAAATATTTAATACATGGATAAATGGTTGACTTCTAAGTTAACATTTGGATACATCAGACATGAAAATTTCAAGGTGAAGTATCTTTGTATTTTTAATGTTTCAATATAAATTGTAATCAGTGTTTGTTGTATTTTTCCAAAGATTTTTGCCCCACTTTTTTTATGTATAAGGCCGATTCCATTAATAAATACATTATTAGTCTGAAAAAGTTTTCTATCTTGTTATTCACTTATATACTCACACACACATTATTTATATTGGACTCTCTTGTTGATTTTGATGTATGAGGATTAAGCAATTCACTTCCTAGAAACTGACAATCAGATTACCTACATAAATAATTTGATTATAGTGGTGAAGCTTGTGCAGAACCAACCACACTTTTTGTAAGAGTAGAATACAGAGAACTGGTGCACAACATGCCACAAAGTCCAAAAACAACCCTCTGCAGCTTTTGAATTCAGAGTTGTCCTTCTCTGAGACTGGTTGCCACCCAAGGCTATAGAATCTGAGTCTGCCCTGCTATTTCCCCATAGCTGGGAGGGAGAAGAAGATTCATACTTTTTCCAAGCTATTAGCACGTAAGTGAATGTAATGGATCCAACTGGAATTCAAACTTGGCCCTCCAATTCCTCAATCTGAGCTGCTATCCATTACTCTACTGTACCTTCATATATATATATATATATATATATATATATATATATATATATAAAATGTCATTTGTATACAGGCCTGTTTCACGATATCACAGCTCATCAGTGTGACTAGACAACCGAATGCTTCAAGCTAGAACCAAGACCTGACTGTTTTAGTATCAGTCGGAGTTTCTACCCCTAAGCCATTGGCGCTTCAGCAGAGAGAGAGATGAATTCTAGCGTATTGTTTTTATGAATGCAAACAAATGCCAGACAGCCAGAGTGCTCTATTCATTAATAAAGATCGATGCATTAGCACTGACAGCTGTTCTTTATAGAATTCGCTCATCTCTCAACAGTGCTCAATCGACAGATTTTCAAGAGCATTATAATGTCATTCGCATACAGGCCTGTTTCGCTGTATCACAGCTCATTGGTGTGACTAGATTATGCAGAGCTGAAAATATCATTTTCCTTATTTCTTTTTTTTTTTTTTTTTTTTTTTTATCTCATGATTTTAAGTTAGAAAACAAATTTTTACATTTGTATATTTCTTCAATACTCTGTTTACTCACATTTTCTGTTTGGTTGGATTGACTTTTTACCATTTAAAAAGAAATATCTTGTTTTTGATAAATATTTAAAAAACTTTGTACCTGAATAACATTTTGCAAGTTGTCAAAAAAGAAAAAAGAAAAGAAAAAATTTAAGAATGCAAGGCACCATAAAAATGAGTTAATCATGGCTTTTTTTTTTTTTTTTTTTCAAAGTTGAAAAAAATTATTGCTATTAGGAAAAAGAAAAAACAAAAAAAGATTTTCAAAATGTGTTGCATAAAAGAATTTCTTGTACTTTTAAGATTTGATAAATTTTACTCACATTCATATTTTATTTGTGATATATCAAAAATAATAAAAGTTAACAATACTTATCAGAGGTTGACTCAGAGTTTCATGGTTTCTTGCTCTTCAGAAGGCATGTTAAAAATAAATATATATATATATATATATATATATATATATATATATATATATATATATATATATGAATTCTTCATTAATTCAATATTATAGCTTGTTATCTGTTGAGCACTTTTTTGACAGAAGTTCTGCTAACCTGAAAAAACACATTAAATTCTTGTAATATTTGACGTCTTTTTTTTTTTTAGTTGTAATTTAATTATTTTTATTCATTTTATATATATATATATGATATAACAATATATAGTTTTGTATAATTTTATATATCAACAAACAGTATTTAGAAAAATATGACAAACTGGAAAGGTTTTCTTTTGTGATGCATTTCATCCATTATGATTTCATCAGACTGGGCTTTGTTGACGTTGCCACATCTACACATGTGCATGAAACGAGTGATGCAGGTAGTTTCAAAATTTTTGAAAGAATATTTTTTTTTTCTCAATCTAGCCAATTTTATCTGTATTCTTTTTCTCTCCATTACCTTTGTCACTGACTATCCCACACTGTGATAGTATAAAATCTACCAAGAATGGTGATATATTGTAAGAGCCTGGACACAAAATTTACCATGGATGAACTAGTGATAAAGGCACTTTCCAGACATTTTTGTCTTAGTGGATTATTTTTTCTTTTAATTAAAGTAGCATTTCCTCTGTCAAAATTGTGGTCAGTTTCATTATAGTGAGCAACCAATGCATTTTGTGTTTTGTTATTTAAAATGTCCCTTTTGTGTTCATATAGTGTTATAGAGTAGTTTCACAGTGGAGGCTTGTATTTCACTAAGTCGGTCCTAAAAAGGTTCGACGTACAAAATGTTAGGAACTTGATATTATAGTTAATGATGCAGCAATCTAGTTGTGGTGGCTGATACTTTAATGTCCGACATTGACTCACTGAGTGACTTCGCGACTGCTACTACTACTACTACTATTTATAGGTGGGCGAGTCTAGTAACAATAGAATAGGCATGTTCCAGTATAACATATAGTCTCTTGTTTAAACTTCTTGAGGTTTCTCTTATGTATTCATTCTGGCAATTCCTGCATTTGATAGAGTAAATTCCTCCTTCAAGTTTTGGCTGGTTGGTTTGTTTTTTATTGATTAAATCTTTGATTGTTTTAGATGTAGTTGTTACAAATTTTATGTTGAATTTAGATAAATTCTTTTCGGTTGTAGTTGTGATAGAGTTAGTGGGTAGGATAATATATTTTTTTGATTCATTAGGTTTGTCTTGGAATTTCTCAAGTCTACTTCTTTCCAAAACATTTTACCTAAACAATAAAATTACATCTGATATATTGATAATGCTCTATTAATATATCCCTGTGATACTTAGTGGATCTTGTAAATAAACTAAACAAAACTGAACACACAATAGAATTCACATATGAAATAAGGAAAAAATGATACTTTACCTTTCTTAAATATCAGAACTTAAAACTAGGTGGCCTGATGATTGCGTTTAGCATGAAACAGTCTTTTGCCTCTGAGTGCTGACTTCAGTGCCCACTTATATATATATATATATATATATATATATATATATATATAGACAAACCTCTCATCAATGGCCTAATAGGGGGATGGATTGCCTTGTTAAAGCTAATTGTCTATAGATGGGAAGGGAATATTTTTGAGTTATAGAACCACTATAGTAACTACCAGTAGTTATGATCATAATGTAAATACTATAAACATGTATATATGGCGTAAATAAATATATATTTAATATAGATATAAATAACAAAAATAATACATTTCTCACAGCTCCTTTTTCACACATGCACTAATGCATCATACTTTATATACTGTACACCTGTCTTTGTTTACAATTGAAAGCCCTGCCACTGCTGCCAAATACTTTGAGAACTAATACGACTTGTTCCACTAAGCCTGCAGATACATTGCTGATGATTTGGAAGTTTGTTTTTTTTTTTTCCTGCTGGATTTTTTTTTTTATTTTGGCTGCAGTTTTTGTCTTTTGCATCTGAAGTTTGTTGAGGGGGGGTCCATAGCTGAGAGCTTTGTCTGTCAGTGTGTGTGTGTGTGTGCAATATATATATTACTGACATTATTTACATTATTCGAACTGTTATCCTCATTTTCATTGCC